AGTGTATTATCGTTTTTCAGGTTTTGGTATATAAGTAAATGTCATCGTTTTTTGAAGAGTGTATTATTGTTTTCCAAGTCCCAGCTCAATTTCCAAAAAATAGAGACCGCTCGAATACTACTCTCCATTAACCTAGATTGTTGATAGTTGATATCCGCCCACCCCGGCCGACGGCAGGGGGAGCGCGTGCCAGGAGCACTTTTCGTCTGTCTTCTGGCGAGGACAGGCTGTGGGGGCTGCCTGCTTGCCTCGTTCGCAAACTTGAACGCTTCCCAGCGAATTATGACGCTCTGCAGCTCCCTCGGTGCAGTTTGCCCGTTTTGGGGGTCAGAAGGTCCCCCTGCACCATCCTTTGCCCATTGACCATTGACCCGGCCGCCCTGCGCAGTACTTTGCCCATTTACCGGGCGCCTTTTGACTAGGTGCTCTTGGCATCAGAAAGCAACGTTAAGCACTAGCTTGGCCTCAAACGCTTCCCAGCGCCCTCTGCACCTCTCCCGGCGGATTTTGGAACCACTCTTTGCTAGGCAGCATCCTGTTATTCCAGAGCTTTTAACAGCCTTTCGGGCTAGGCAGGCCGCCCGCCCTAGTACGCCGGCGCACTGCACCTCTCCCGGCGGATGTTGCAACCTTTTGGTGGGCAGCATCCCGTTCCTCAACTTGCCCCAGCGCATCTTGGCAGCATCCTGTTATTCCAGTGCTTTTTGCAGCCTTTCGGGGCTAGGAAGGCCGCCCTGCGCAGTACTTTGCCCATTTACCGGGCGCCTTTTGACTAGTTTTTCTTGGCGTCAGAACATAACGTTAGGCACTCGCGTGGCCTCAAACGCTTCCCGGCGCCCTCTGCACCTCTCCCAGCGGATTTTGCAACCTTTTGGTGGGCAGCATCCCGTTCCTCAACCTGTCCCAGCGCATTTTGCAACCTTTTGCTAGGCAGCATCCTGTGAGGCGCCGCTGCAGCGGCATTATCTGACCCAAGCTGCTGAACATGCGCATGCACTCCATGTCCTGCTTCTCTTGCATACATTCTCTGCGAGTCAAGTACTGGTACTTTTCAATTGTCCCATAAGCTAATGAGCTATAGAAACTATATGTGATCTTCATCGTTGACTGAACAACTATTGTATATATATTTTTTGCTATTTAATTATTTATTTATTTATTTATCTATTTATTTGTTTATTTGTTTATATATTGTAGAGCTTCGCACACCGGCGATGCCTGTAGGGCTCGGGGGAGGGAAAGAGAGAGGGGGATTTCATCTGAACTAGGTAAGAATCGTCATTCTCGTCGTTGTCGTTGTTTTCGTTGTTGTCGTCGTCTTCGTCGTCGTCGACGGCATCGTCGTCGTCGTCGTCGTCGTTGTTGTTGTTATTGTTATTGTTGTTATAGCTGTTGCTGCTTGGTCCTGTTGTCGTTGTCGTTGTTATCTTTGTAGTTGGTACTTTTTGCAAACCCCCCCAAAATCGTCAAACCGCCGGTTTTTGCAAACCCCCAAAAAGCGTCAAATAGGCGGTGTTTTCGCGATTTTTCACGTTCTCGGAACAAAAAAACACCGTAAATACCGATGTTTTTGGCTCCGCGCCAACGCAAAACCACGGTATTTACGAGGTTTTGAGCCTCTGCTAGCAAAAATCACGGTATTTACAGTGTTTTGTGGCCCAGGCCTAGCAAAAACACTGGTATTGACGCAGTTTCCAGCATGTTGTCAGAAGCTTTTTTTAGATGCCAAAGGCACAAAAACATTGTAAATTACACGATTTTTACGCGTGGACAGTACCAAAAAATTATGAAAAATTGACCCAAAATCGATAAAAAATGCCCAACAAGGACCTCCAAAACGCATCTTCGAATTTTACCCTCTTTTTTCCCACCCCGAACCCCGAAAAACGTGAAAACCCCAGCACCCTGAAGGATCTTCAAAAAGGTCGGCGGCACCGGCGCGCCCCCGGCTAGCTAAAGCTATGCGCTTAGCAACACCACGAAACGGCGAGGCATCGCCGGATTTCTATATATACATATATTTATTTATATGCTTCCTGCAGCAGCCAGTGTCTTAGTTGCTTCATGCGATACCTCGATGCCTTGACCCAAATGGCAGCGCCGGCAACTTGTCCATATCTCTACACACACACCCCGCTCACCGACCCCGAGGCTGCAGCCCCTGAGGTCGGCGGCAGGGGGCGGCAGCCCTTAAACTCCGGCCAGGGGCCCGCCGGCTCAGTGTTGGTCGTGGCATTGCCGTAGGCCTTCTCTCCTCTCCGAAGGAGAGGGGCTGCACCCCCCGCCGCCGACCACCCCCCCGACCCCGTGGCGCCAAAAACTCCCGTGTTTTACGGTCATTTTTCCCATTTTTCAGAGCATGTGGCTCAAGATGGGTCAACATGGGCCAACATAGGCCTCAAGATGGGCCAACATAGCCTCAAGATGGGGCAACATAGCCCCCAAGATGGGCCAACATAGCCCCAAGATGGGCCAACATAGCCCCAAGATGGGGCACCATAGCCCCAAGATGGGCCAACATAGCCCCAAGATGGGCCAACATAGCCCCAAGATAGGCCGCGGACCATCAAAATATCCTGTGTTTTACAGTGTTTTATTTGCTGTTTCCATTTTTCGGATCTTTGGCTCAACATGGGTCAACATGGGCCAACATAGGCCTCAAGATCGGCCGACACAGGCCTCAAGATCGGCCCACATAGCCTTCAGGATAAGCCAACATAGCCCCAAGCTGGGCCAACATAGCCCAAGCTGGGCCCACATTGCCCGCAAGATAGGCCAACATAGGCCAACATAGGCCAACATAGCCACAAGATGGGCCAACATAGTTGACAGCGCGTAAGCGCTTAAATCGACGTTAGCTATTCCGGCCAGGGGCCCTGGGGGCCAGGAGCTGGCCGTGGCATTGCCGTACGGCAGTTCTCTCCTCTCCAAAGGAGAGAGGGGCCGCCGCCCCTCCCGTACCATCAAAATATCCTGCGTTTTACAGTGTTTTTTTGCTGCTCCCATTTTTTACCATTTTTCGGATCTAGTGGCTCAAGATGTGTCAACCTGGGGCAACATAGGCCCCAAGATCGGCCAACATAGCCTGGCTGGGCCAACATAGCCCCAAGATGGGCCAACATAGCCCCAAGATGGGCCCACATTGCCTTCAAGCTAGGCCAACATAGCCCCAAGATGGGCCAACATAGGCCAACATAGCCCCAAGATGGGCCCATATAGCCCAAGCCGTTCACAACAAACCACGCACCACAAACCAGAAACCAGAAACCCCAAACCAAAAACCACAAACCACACACAACAACCAGAACAACAACAACACCGACAACCGCAACAACCACAACAGCTCGACCCCTATCACCTCAACATGGGCCCCTGGCCGGCTGTCGCGCGAAAGCGCTTAAATCGACCAAAGATATACATAGACATAGCTTGATATACGTATATAAGTAGATAGATATGACATATACATGGCATATCATGATATACTGCAAATATATGGATACATAGGATTATATGGGGAAATATTATACGAGATGGGGAATATCAAACCTCATCACAAACCTCTTTTCAAATTATATGCAGAATGCAGCCGCACACACGTATTTCTTTCTATCGATACGACTGTAGTCAAGCATGACAACTCATTGGGTGTGTTCAAAACTGGTTTGGATGCCTCCGGCTATGGCTGTTGGCACCCAAATTGGCCAGTTTGTTTCCTTTTGACAGTCCAGAATCTTTGCAAGCAACCACAAACACCAAGCATTCTGCACATCTGAATGTCTCTATCTTGATCTGGTTTCAAACTAGTTGCAGTCAGTGCTTGGGCCAACAACAAAAAACTGAGGCAGCGACTCTGAAAGGCAACTTGGCGGCAGCACCACAACCAAGCGGACAGTGAAGCGGATGGTTCGACGAAGTTTGAAGTTGCTACATTGATTTGCTGTCTTGAAGCCTTGTCAAATGAAAACTGTGGTAGAAGTAACTGACATGAAGACTGTGCAAAAATTAGCTAACATTGTGAGACTGTGGTTTTTTTTTTTGGAAAGTCTTTACCTGGTTTGCGCCGACCCAAGCCAGACAGCTGAGATTGCAAAGCATGCAGAAAGGGCAGGGTTGGTGTCGGAAAACGGATGTTGGTGTCGGAAAACTGGAATGTTGGTGTCGGAAAACGGAAATGTTGGTGAGACAGTGACTTGGAATTGCATGTGAGGCTTTGGGGGGTGGGGAGTTTAAACAATGCCTTGGAATCGTGACAAGAACTCTTGGGGAAGGAAGGCTGTGAATGGAGAAATACTATTGCATGTGGGGCTTTGGGGGAGGAAGTTTAAACAATGACTTCGAATCTTGACTAAAATACTATTGCATGTCCGATAGGGAGATAGAGCACACCTAATTTCAAAGTTAGCGTTTTCTGACTTTGACGTTCTTGTTTTCTGACACGTGTTTTCTGACACCGTCTACGTTGGACAAAATGTCAAAACGGCCATCTTTCTCCTGCAGTGCTGCCACAACGTTCTCCTCTGCCGCCCTCAGAAAGCTGCTGCTAAGGCCGAACCTGGAGGCTCGAGACATCTCCAGACTGTCTCCACATCTCCACGGGACTGCAGAGAACCCCAAAGCTTGGTGCGGACCAGGCTCCTTCCAAGCTGCCCGCAGGCTTCAGCTACAAGGCAGAGTGTTGTGACCTGGGTCGGAATTCATCAAAATGCTGCACACATTGAGAAAAAATCTTGGTCGCCACCAGTCCCCCACCGGGGCCCAGTCAGACTTTTGCTACGTTTCGCATGTCAACCGCATACAAAGGGAAATGAGATGCTGCCCTCAGACTTTCCACCATCGAAATACTACTATATAAATACATTTAAGTCCTTTAAATATTGTACATCAAAAGCTGCGCCAAAATCCTCATCCAACAATCATCCAACAAATGTCTCTAATCATCCAACATCATGCCTCTGTCAGTTCGGTTTCTACTTCCTCTCAATGAGATCCGAGGTTCATCAGGATTCAGACCTGGGCTCCGTCCAGAACGGTCCAGTGGACAGATTCATACGCAAAGGAACTCTGCTTCCATTCCTAAGGTGTAGTCATTTGGGATCATTTGGGTGTCTGGATGTGGGGTAAAGACCCATCAATGGCAATTCTTGGAAAATGATGTTACGCCAGTAGATTTTCAGGTATCTTAGTTTCAGACAAACCCATGTTTGACTCTAAGGCATCCACTTTGCACATGCATCTCACGGAAGAAACCCAGCACCAGTCGTGGCTGCTGACGGCTTGCCTGGCAAGGGGGTTGTACTTGTCACTGATGCCAGTTCTTTGGGATTTGCAAGTATACAAGTACAGTACTTTCATTACTTTCCATATTTCACCCAAAAACTGGTATATCTTTGGTGATTGAATATCATAGACAAGTGCTCTGGCAATGGAGATGTTCCCTGCACCAAGAGCAGTACTAGCCTCCATGACTACGTTGTAAGCCACTAGGCCAGGAGCTGGCAACTGGCGAGCTCCTTCACTGGCCAAAGGCAAGGCACACTCTTCAACGTTCTGCGTCATTCAAACTGGTTTCGAGACAGCCTGTCGTGCATAGGAATGATTCTGTTTGCACCTTCCAAAAAATGCGGCATCATCAAATTAGAAGAGGCCATGAGGAACGGACGCCGGTAGAGCAAAATGGCGAGCAAATGTCTCGGTCACATGGGAGGTATGTCCCAACATTGAAAACAACGCAAAATCCTTTTTGGTAGGTCAGGTCAATGGTTCTGGTATCTTGAAGTTGGCACACACCTGAAAACACCCAAAGCCTAGAAACAGCCGCAGGTGGTGGTGTGTCCTAGAAGCCATAGTGCTTGAAGCCAGCACCTTCCGTGGCTGCTTGAAGCCAAGGCATTGTTCAGGGTCAGCCTGCAGACACAGCGTTGCAAGGACGGCAGCTCTGTGAACGGAGCGCATGGCTCTGCAAATCTGTTGGATGATTATCTGCCGAGTCCAGAGTCCAAAACCATCCAGAGTCATTCAAAACCATCCAAAACCAAGGGTTCCCTGCAGCGCTTGAAGCAATTCTCTTTGCCAAAAGTCCACATCATTTCTGGCTCCACCCAGACCTGTCAGATTGGAGGCTGCACTGGTCCATCTGCATGACCAACTGCATGGCCAGGGGCCATCCCAACTCCTGGAGCTTGGCAAACACCCTGAGCACCCTGCTGGTCATGGAAAATAATGATTAACCGATTAACCATCAAAGTTGGGAGCATGATGGGTCAAATTAAACAATCAGCATGATGAATCTAGCAAAGAGAACAAGATCTTCCGAACTTCCGTAATGTTGCCAACCAGCAAGATGTGCACTTCTCAAGTCGCATTGTGCTAAAAGCTCTCCTGCTTCTCTGGGACAACTCCCATCAGTGCATTGAAGGATTGCGTATCAGGCTCTAGACCCTGGGCCCTGCAGATTTCCAAGAGCTTTCGACCTTGTCCCACCTCGCCAGATTTCAAGGCCATCGACACTCTTAAGTCAAGGGACCATCGACCATAGACTCCATGATATTTACAAGAGGTCAGAACCTTTTTGCACAGTGCGCAAATTGATTTCTGACTTTTGATGTTTGAACATCCTCTTTTCCCACATGCTATGTTGCCACAAATTATATGAGCGATGGGTCTTGAAGAACACAGAGGCACATGTAAAAATCCATGCCCGGTGTCCAACCTTTTTTGAATGTCAAGACCTCTTCATTCCTCACAAATGAAGTGGTTGTTTGTTTGCCGTCATGATGGTTTGGGTTCGCCCTGCATTTTGGCTTTAGTAACTTGGGGAGATTGCATGCAAAAGTGTCCTCGGGTGATTCTTGTACTCGCACACACACACACCGCAAATCTGCAAATCCTCGCCTGTGAGGAACGTGCGCATGCAGTGATGGCAATGTTGCAAAGTCCAGTTGTTGGACTTGCAGTTGTCCTGCCAGCGTTCATGAAGTTAGAATGTGAGACGGTTTGAAATGATGTGAAATGTGCCTTACAAGCAGTCAATCAGATTCTTTGCTCCAACTCTTCCCTGCTTTCAAAACTTCCAAAGTGAGACACACGTTCCTCTTGTCGGATTATCAACACCTTGTCAGTAGTCAGAAGCAAAGAGTCCTCTGGAACATGGCCAGCACTCGCGACCACGCCAAGGCCAACCCCACGGCATGCATGGTAGCTCCCAGCAGGATAGCATCCACCTCTCCCTCAAACTCTGAGGCCACCTCGGACATGGCCAAAGCTGGGAGGCTTAAGAAAGAAAAAGGTGAAAGTGCTTGAAGCTGTGAGAGTCAAAAGATGTAAAGGCACTTTAGTCATCTTTGGACAGAATCAGGATAATTTGCAAAGCTAAATCCAAACAAACAATGGATACGATTATTATCATTATTGGTATCAGTATCATGATTATTCTATCTTAATAATTAATATATATATAGTTATAGTTATAGTAAATAAGTCATCATGGCCTCTCCTGTAGGTCAGGTAGAGATTCCCAACCGCTTGGAGGAGCCTGCAAGGCGATGTCCCAGCGTCGGCTGCACGAGGTGGTCACCGCAGCGATGAATTCGCGGCATCGAAGGCGATGGCGGCGATGTCCTTTCCTTCAATGACTGGGGCAGCCCAAGAGATCCCAAGAGATCCCAAGAGATCCCAAGAGATCCCAAGAGATCCCAAGAGATCCCAAGAGATCCAAAATCTCTGAGACTTCTGACATGTAGAATCTGAATCATCTGAATCTGATCAGATTGTTTCAAATTGGAAAATCAAAAGAAAAGAGGTGCCGTGCCAGCTGGGATCAAGCTTCAGATCTGCCAAGCCGACATATGAAGCCAAGGAAAGGGCATGGCTCCAAGGGCATGGCGAGGAAGGCGCATCCATGGCTACATTCGATATTGTGCGGGACATTGCAGATGCCAAGGCTGTCAAGCTCTTCTGGGAAGGCTTGACACCGCGCTGCCTCATCGTTGCATAAAGCCGAAGGGCTTGCGGCCAATTCAGCCTCCTGCGCAAGGAGAAAATAAGCCTTGGACTAAGGGCTAAAAATGTCCCCACTTCAACTATCAAAGTTGTTTCACTTCTCCAAGCACGTACAGAGCCAAGGACATATCCCAGTTCCCCATAGGAATGCGAACCTCGCACAGGCGCTCAGGACACCATTCACCGCGACGACATCATCCTCTTCCCCAGTGAGGGCTGTGGCCTTTTCCCATGCACCGACATCTGCACAGAGGGTTGAGCACGCACTGCGGAGAAAGAGGTGCAAGCGCAAGCCTCACAAAGTCATTCCAAAGGCCATCTGACACGTATGACAATTTGTCTCTTGAACATCGCTCCCGTCACATCAATTGCTTCCTCCAGAAACAACCCCTCAGAGATCTTAATAGCAGTTTCTCTCCCAGATTCTGTGGGTCTTGGATCCACTGGCAGCGAGCCTTGGCTCCTGACCTTCTGAAGGCTCCAACTGCTGTGGGCCCACGCGTCCATCTGCTGCTTCAACGACTTGAAGGCCTCAGTTCCAGACCATGGCAGCCATAGAATAGCAGCTGTAGCATTGACTTTTACTATGCCAAGCATTCCCAATACTTGGCAAACCCACCCTGTCACTGGTGCACCAAGTTGCTGAGATATAGCTGATTGAGTTGGCTCCTCGGGTGCAAGCTGCATTGATACAGGCAATCCCTTCTGTTCACAGCCAGTGTGAAATATTGAACATGTTTCTTTGTTTGATAAACACGTGCCTCTGAAACTCACACAACCTCTTTGTGACCACCTGGGCTGGCAGTCCCTAACTTCGGTGTTGACTCACTCAGCTTGTTAGTAATGGCCTGAATTTCCTCAAGTATCGAAATTAGCGTTGTGCCAAAAAAGGCAGGATAGTAGTAAACCATCCAGAAAACCGTAGTAAACCCAGTTAATCCAGTCAACCCAGTAAACCAGTAAAGCATAGGATCGCCACAACCCTTCCAATTGGACCGGAGTTTGCTGCCAGGGCTCTCACAAGTCCTCGCTTCATGGCCGCCAAGAGGTTCACTGCTGGCTTCCAATGCAGCTTCTTACCTTCTCGCATGAAGGATAGGTGCACCACACAAAAACTCAATGGAAGCCCTTCCCAAACCAATAATAGGTCGGCTGTATCCAGAACCTGCCCCTGTGGACATTGATGTTGCAGCTATGTCGAAGATGGTTGAAGCAGGTTGTTGCTGTTATGACGCAAAGGTGCTGCAAGCAGTCAAAGCTCCATTGAAAGCTACCGTGTCGACATACATGCGATGCTCCTGGCATCGCGCTGGCATCGCGGCGCATCAGGGCTGTGAGCCAAAGAAATCCAAGTCAATGTGAGAGCCCCTCAAGTCAATTTATGTGAATGTGCCATGGTCAACACATATCGGGTATGATCATCCACACCAGAATGCGAATCCAAACAAAACAGGTCTAACGGTCTAACCCTTCTGAAAATGGATTGCCATCCCCAATCATGTGCAATTTATCATAATTATCGATTCTTTACCAAAGTTTTTGACCATTGCCCAAGTGACCCAATCAGCACTTTGCATCTCCTCAATGCTGTGCAGCACCGCCATCGAAGCTTCCCAGGCTGCGGCTCTGCAACAGGCACCGATGCACACAGAGGCCGCTGAGGCTGGCTGGGGCGCTCGGAGCCTGCAGGAACCAAGGCAAGGCGGTGCAAGAAGTGTGGAAGACTGCATTCATAGTGAAGAAACTATTTTATAATTGGTAAAATAACCATTTATAGCCGTGCAATAAGACAACACGTCTGATGCTCACCAATGACACGCTCTTATCGTTCCCTGGGCCTGTGCATTGCAAGCTGCCACGATGCATCCGGTCCATTTGGGGCTCCTTGCTGCGGTCGACCGGCAAACCGCCATGCAGCCAATAATGAGGACTTGTCATACTGCATGACTTTAGTGACATCAAAATCATAAAGCAAGAATGCAACAACAAGGTCGCAGCATGTCACAGCCCTCTATCCATTGGTTTACAGACAGTGCAGCGACCACATCTGAAAAAAGGAACATACATATCTCCACAGGCGCAAGCATTGAGCAGGCCTCATGAAATCAAAGGTCGTGCAAACCAGTAAACCGGACCCTGACCAGTGGTCAAGTTGATATATGCTGAGGAAGATTCCAGTCTTACCAACAACCACAGGTGCAGTTTGTATTTGCGCCTGGGAATACAATCCAACAGAATATGAATCGGTTCGTCCGGTTTTCAGGCCTGCGTTTGGCAACATTGATTTCATGACACATCAAGAATGGTGGTTGCCATAAAGGCAGTGTCCAGCTGATACAGAAGGCGATGCTGTGCATTTGTTGTTCAGGGTCAAAATATTGGATAGATCATACCACTAGACCGGCAACATGAATCATTTTTAGTATTGAACCGTCCATGTTAAGGGGAACGAGAATTTTGACCCATATCAATGTTGAACCAGAAGTTTGTGACTTATGCGGTCACACTGCCTTATGCTCTCACATATCGGACTTCTGCCTGACAAACATCTAAGCATGTGGAGTTTCTATGTTTTTTCCAGCGTCGCAACATTATGGCCGTTCGGGGGCAGGGTCAGCAGTCACATCTACTTCAATGGAGCCAAGCTGAGAACCATTGGCAATTTTGCACACTGAATTCGAAAGCTTGCTTGAGGCAAACGGCGAGCGAATGAGAGAAGAAGAACATCGCCGGACTATCACTGAACACTCATGGAATGAGAACGGAAGGTTGCAAAACATGTCAATGTTTCAGCATGGTGCAGATAAAGTGGCTGGACTACATTAAAATTTGATGATTCATGCTTTACTTGTGGCGTTCGCAACTCCATGCAATCCATGCGGGGCATGCGGAGTTTGTCTTTTCTAAGCGACGCGTCTGCACATTCGCAAGCGGTTGAGCGAAAAACCTAAGAGAAAGCTGCGCAAACAGCAACAGGCTAACAGGAGAACTGCATAAACATAAGGCAGCTTTCTTGTACTGGGTTCGTAAAATGTATCACTATCTGCGGAGACCATCTTTACAAAAGTGTGTGTTTTACATCACCAGAACCACACATTTTACAAGCCTTTCTGCATGCCAGTCCTCCAGTCATCCCTTTTTCTGCTTCCTTTTCTTAATTTGACCCCCTGGGGCCCCAACGCAAAATTGCTGGTGTGAGCGCATTAATCCTGGCATCCACCAGATTTGTTTCGCAGAAAGTTGAGCTGCATCCAATGTCAAAATTAAAACCCTTCTCCACAGCTGAGGTGTCTTTTGTGTTGAGCTTTGACATATCTTTCCAAGGACTTCCTGGCACTTCACACCCAGCACATGAATTTTCTGCAAACATGAAAAGTCCATGACGATCTCATGGTCTGTGTCACCATTGCCATTTGGAGATCAATTTGTACAGTTTGAATGGGGTTTCTTGCACCTTCTTGTTTTTGGTCATTTTTGACTATGCCACGCCGATGCACAGCGTGCCAAATCCCACCCTGCAGCTGGCCTCCGCTCTCCGCAACCAACACATGGGATTCTTCTTGGTGGCGGCTACATCTTGTTGGAAGCTGAAAAGCTCCTGAAGAGTGCTCCCCTTGTAGATGAACTGAAGAGTCACATCATGTATCTACTGGATTTATCATGATGCCGAACCGATTGAAACCATTTTCCAAGCCAACACAATACCTGTTCAATAGGGGAAATGGTGCGCCACTTGGCAACGTTCCACTCTAGCTATGTATGGTATTACACAGCCATTCCATTCTGTGCTTGCCCAAACCTATTGTGTCCTTGATCATTCGGATGTTGTAGAGCAAAGCTGTCCATCCTGAGCCAGTCAGTCAATCACAGCATGTTGAGTGAAAAAGTGATAAGTTAAAATCTGCCAAAATCAATATCAAGCAAATACAGTAGAATATGATAGAATCCAAGTAGCTCTCACATCCAATGCCCCAGGCAATGACTGTGACATCTTCGGGCAAACCCATGGGCAGCAACCTGGCTGTAAACACATGGAGTCAGGGGCACTGAAGCATTGGGAAATCAAACGGGAATAAACGTACCTCGAAGCCTGGCTATACTACCACTGGCCCTCTTCGAACAAAATGCAGCTTGAGGCACATCTCCGGTCTGAAGACTCCGCTGTTGCCCACCTAGCCACTGAGGCTGTGAATCTAATCGGGGCACGCTCTGCCTATTGGGATGTTGGAGTGCAGCAAAATTCTGTGTATTTCCGGATGGCACCTCGATCCATTTCTTCAGGATCGGGTGAAAGCCTTGGAAATCGCTGGTCGTGAGTCTCGTTTGAAAATATCATTGTGGTGGTAGTGGTGCACCAACTTGCCATTCTTTGGATTGAAACCATCTGTGAGCATCCCAGCCATTGGGAAGGCCATGCCAGGCAGGTTATGTAGATTCTGCACGAGCTTGAGACTTTAGCCTTCAGAAGTCTTTTATGCAGATAAAGTGTTCATCCAATTGACAAATATCCCCGAACATGTCATCAACAGCAAAAGCCAAATGTCGGAATCTGCAAAGACCGTTTGCAAATCCCGAATACGGGTAGGTACCGAGTTCATTCATTCAGTAAGTCCATTTAAGATGCTTGGACCACATCTATACCCCTATACATATAATTATGTATATAATATATATATAGTATATACATATTATCACGCATATTTATATTCCCATGGCGTCTGACTCATGTTGCATGTCACTATGTCTTTCTCCAAGGTGCCAAAAACCTCCATGGAAGGCTCGGTATAGGGATTATAGGCAGGCTTGAAACCTTGGCAGTGTGACAGAGACTGGCAGTTTGTGCAGAAAAGCCACTAAGCATATTAAGCCCATGTGAGGGTAGCTTTGGAATTCTGTAATGTCATTACGTTTTCACAAAAAAAAACATGCTGGTTTGTTGGCTATTCATGGTTCAGCAGAACGAGATTCTTTTGTCCCCTGTCTTCATAGAACAGCACATGAGCAGGAAAATGGTCCCCCTTCACCGTCCAACATTCATTTCCGCGGAGCTCACCAAACTTCTGCAAGTATCTAAAATGTATAAAAGTCATGATTATACAGCATTTGGGCCATGTTACCATTGGTTCCTATCCCATTGGATCTTGGGCCGAGCCCATTCCGCCCAAGGCACGCAGCTTGGAGATGCCAATGCGAGCAAAGAAGTCCCGCAGGACTCCAATGAGCTGCGGTAAGCCGATGTTTCCTAAAGCAGAAGCAACAGGCACCGGTGGCTGGGAACATGTTATGAATATGATGAAAATGTTTTTCATGGAAAATATGTGGATATGATTCATGATAATCATAATATATATTATGTTAGATATATATATATATATATATGGGGGTTGATCAAAACATAGTTGCCAGTGTGTTATTAGAAATGACCTTGCGCCCGCCCTTGCGCTTCCTTGCGCTCTTCAGGGTTTTTATTGTGTTCCATTACATGGATTAAATATGTATTTAAGAATTGATTGCCGCAAAAAGTTGCTCAATCCAAGGGGGTGTTCACTGATCCAGTACGCTGTGCAACACAAACTTTTTTAGCCTTCGGAAGCAAAATCTGATGATTCGGAGCTCGAATTCTCAGAAGTTGAAGATTCTGAGGAGCTCTACCTACAGAGGAAATTTGATTCCCAAAACGGCCCGTTTGAGCCAAAAAGAAGCTTTACGGGAATCAAATTTCAAGAGGTATGGTAGAAGGAGAGTGTACACACATAGGAAATTTGATTCCCAAAACGGCCCTTTCGAGCCAGAAAGCAGCTTTACGGGAATCAGATTTCAAGAGGTATGGTGGAAGGAAAATATATACACATAGAAATTGTGATTCCCAAAACGGCCCTTTGGAGCCGAAAAGCAGCTTCACGGGAATCAAATTTCAAGAGGAATTTGATTCCCAAAACGGCCCTTTCGAGCCAGAAAGCAGCTTTACGGGAATCAAATTTCAAGAGGTATGGTAGAAGGAGTGTATACACATAGGAAATTTGATTCCCAAAACGGCGCTTTTGAGCCAGAAAGCAGCTTTACGGGAATCAAATTTCAAGAGGTATGGTAGAAGGAGAGTGTATACACATAGGAATTTGATTCCCAAAACGGCCCTTTTGAGCCAGAAAGCAGCTATACGGGAATCAAATTTCAAGAGGTATGATAGAAGGAGAGTGCATACACAGACGAAATTTGATTCCCAAAACGGCCATGTCGAGCCAGAAAGCAGCTTTACCGGAATCAAATTTCAAGAGGTATTGTAGAAGGCAAATATATACACATAGGAAATTTGATTCCCAAAACGGCCATTTCGAGCCAGAAAGCAGCTTTACGGGAATCAAATTTCAAGAGGTATGGTAGAAGGAGAGTGTATACACATAGGAAATTTGATTCCCAAAACGGCCCTTTTGAGCCAGAAAGAAGCTTTACGGGAGGTATGGTAGAAGGAGAATGTATACACATAGGAATTTGATTCCCAAAACGGCCCTTTCGAGCCAGAAAGCAGCTTTACGGGAATCAAATTTCAAGAGGTATGGTAGAAGGAGAGTGTATACACAGAGGAAATTTGATTCCCAAAACGGCCATTTCGAGCCAGGAAGCAGCTTTACGGGAATCAAATTTCAAGAGGAATTTGATTCCCAAAACGGCCCTTTCGAGCCAGAAAGCAGCTTTACAAGAATCAAATTTCAAGAGGTATGGTAGAAGGAGAGTGTATACACAGAGGAAATTTGATTCCCAAAACGGCCATTTCGAGCCAGGAAGCAGCTTTACGGGAATCAAATTTCAAGAGGAATTTGACTCCCAAAACGGCCCTTTCGAGCCAGAAAGCAGCTTTACGGGAATCAAATTTCAAGAGGTATTGTAGAAGGCAAATATATACACATAGGAAATTTGATTCCCAAAACGGCCCTTTTGAGCCAGAAAGAAGCTTTACGGGAATCAAATTTCAAGAGGTATGGTAGACGGAGAATGTATACA